GCAGAAAAAACGGTATCCTATTAACGTCATTTTGCTCTAAATAACGCTCCCCCCATCGCCCAGACCCATGCTGCAAGAAATATTCTGCCACAATATTGTGTGTTAATGCTTTATAAGGCCATGAAAACAGGAGTGAAATTAGAATTAAGATGTTTATGGGGAAGAAAGTTTGTCTGAAATGGAAGCTTTCTTTTTAAAAGGAAAAGCTAGTGTCCTGAGACCCAATTTTGTAATTTTTTTTGGCAGGTCAGCAGTTGACTCTGCCTCCTTTTGTGTCTGGATATAACACAGCAGAAGCAGAAAACCATCATTTCGATTTCCATCTAGCAATAAAGGATTAGTATACAGTAACAGACTTCCCCCAAATTGGCAAGTCTTTGATGTGGATTATAGTTCCCCACACTGCCATTCGGTGCCATATTCTGATAGAAGCTGCTGGCCAACATCTCAGGTTGGGGAAGACCAATACAAGGGAAGTCCCTCTTAAACACAGAGGCACAGTTTGGAACTCTCCTGTTCTCGGCAGAAGCTACTGTATACTTTCAAAGCAAACATCCACTGTTGTGTTCACCCTCATAGTGTAATTTCACACAGTGCAGCAAGCACAAGTGCAGCAATTACAGGGAAAATGAAAATGCCAGCACACACTGTTTAAATACATTTTATTTCTTAATTTACATTATGTATGTATATATATATATATATATATATATATATATTCATTTATATATATTTGACTGCTTTATTCTTATACTCTGAGATTCATAATCAATTTCACTGTCCTTTAAAAAATAAAATAGCCATTTGTTGTTCGATTTTGCTTCTGAAAGAAAATCAGAAAAAACAATTTGAGTCCTGCCTTGTATAACAAGAAAAACGTTAGCATTGCGCTTCCGTGCTTTCCACTTGTCCAAGTGATCGTGAAGTGTCTCTTTTTGTGAAAAGTCTGAGAACAAATGCCAATTCCTCCAGATCAGGCCTGGCTGACAGGTGGAATGAGGCACTGCAAGTGGGGTCACTGTCCCCTTGCTCGGATATTTGGAAACGGATTAGTCTCATTTAGGAGGAGAGCTGGGGAGGGCTTTTGGTTGGCTTCCCTTTGTGACTGAAATTCATAGAGAATAGAAAATGGAGACCCTTTTCAGTCTTTCTTTGTATATGCCTACTCAAGAGTGATCTTCTTCTTCCTCTTTGGTGTAACCTCCAAGCCCAGACACAAGTTCTCATTCTGGCAAGGCGTGGTTTAGCACCCCCAGTCAAATCTTTGCCTAATTTTACCATTTTTAGGTTCCTTCCAGATGGCACCTGCCCCTGGGCCTGCAGAGGACAGAAACAAAATGCTCTTTTCTGGCCACATCTGTTGGGGTTCACTCTCTTCCTCAGCTGGGAGCTCTCTTGCTGGCATTATTGGATTCTGCGCTGGGCTAGTCTGCTTCCTTTAGTGCCGTGTAAATTCCCTGCAATGATCTGGAGCAAAGCTACATGCTAAATTGGATCCTTAAAAAAAACAGGGAATGATTTTCACAGATCACATTAGGGCTGGTGAACCTTAAAAGGACTGGAGGATTCCAGACACTAATGCCAGTCCTGAAATGTTTCAGCTTTGGAACAAGAACAGCTGAAAGGAATGATGCTTGCACGCGGTTCAGGAAAACACTACAGGTTCAAGGAAGGAAGCAGTCCTGCATGAGCAACTATCCACACCGAAGACTAGTTAATGAAAACTTAAGTGTGTATGGCATGTGTATATGAGACACGTCTACTAAAATCTGCTGAGGAGCTGTTTGAAACTAACTGTAGCCATGATCTGTTTCAGATGGAACTAATTTCTGCTCTCTCTCTACTTCTTTTTGACATCTGAAAGGCTGTCAGGTTCCTGGAGATCTTGTGGAACAGTGATGCAGCAGAGATGAGAAAAACAGAGGGCTGGTTGGGATTAACAGGGCTTCATGGCCCCCTGCCCTTTCTCAAAGCCAAAAGGATGGACTGCTTACAACCTTCTCAGAAACAGAAGTCACCACCATCAGGATCAGGAGCAAACTACTGTACTTCAATGTCTAGTGAAAATTCAGGATTGAATTTTAAGGCAGTTCTTCTCTGCTCTACCCTGTTGTTCACAGAAAAACAACAGCTCTCTCTAAATAATAGGGTGAGGAGGATATTGCTGCTGGAAATGGTCACTCTAGTCGTCTTTTTTTGGCCTGGAGAATCATTGGTAGAACTGTTGACAGTCATCTCTTTTGTTGTCATGTCTCCCTGTTCCTCAAGAGGCTTGAAAAAAAATCTGAAATTCCCCATGGAAAACTAAAATCCCCAAGTCATGCTGGTCCAAAAAACAAACGTTATTGGTAGGTCTGAGGTAGCTCCAGCAGTAAACTGCTAGTGCAAATGACACTCTTATTTAAAGCAAAAAAATAACAGCTATCCATCCAATCCAATCTTTTTGGTGTCCTGCAGAAAAAACGGTATCCTATTAACGTCATTTGAGAGTAGAAAAGGTATCTGGGGGGCTGTAACCAGAAGGCAAAACATTGCTTTTGTGGAGCTGGAATAATGTCTCTACCTGAAGACAGGATTGCTGACCAAAGCAAGGGTGTTAAACAGTGTTAGATGTTTACTCCATTAGCAGAAGTGGGTGTCTTCTTTGGCTGAAAGTAAAGTTGTATATTCAGTTCTCTAGATGTTTCCTTTTGGAGACGGAGGGTAAAAGAACCAGCCAGAAGCATCCACCCAGATTGGGAGCGAGTTGTCCATACTTCTGTAGACCACAAGCCTCCCTGTGTGTCCAGAGGACCCCTTCATTCTGCTGAAACACCACCAACCCTTTGTGTCTGAGAGTCTGGATTTCCTCTGGCTCAAAGCATGGGGGCAGGGGATGAGGGGGGTGTCTCCACGGGTGCTCATTTTGGGGTTTAGTGGCAGCTACGAAAGATTGCCTTCATTGCCCGAGATGTCAGCTGCAAGGAAGGAAACAAAGACGAACTGTTATGGTGGTGAGAAAGATACAGATGCTTTCACAGAGAGACAGTCAAATCTATAGCCCATTCTTTTGTACTGGCTCGGACCATTAAAGTGGTGGTGGCCAGAATCCAACAGGCTGCAAAATGCTGGACTGGTCTGAAAAATACATTCAGGTTTCTGCTGAAAGTGTCCCCTCGGACTTTGTGAATAACTGATCATTTAAAGCAGAGGCCCAATGCTGTATCTTGGGTTTTCTTATTGGAAGAATACAACGTGGCTGTTTACTACAGAGGGGAGACTGTTGACTACTGTA